CCCCAAAACCCCAAAACCCCAAAACCCCTATATAAAATATTGTGTTGAAAAGTGTTAAATATGAGTAATTCACAAGACGGAAGAAATAGGGATGTTTCCATCACTCAATTGGAAATACTCCAAACACTTCATGATCATTTCGAACAAGGTGAGAAAGGCTCAAATATTTCAGGTAAGCTCTAGTATATAACTCTGGATAGATTCACAGAAGTATTCATGAAATTTTGTTGATAATGAAGCTAATGCCTTCACTCAGAATGACTCCAAGAAAAACATAAATGCTGGAATTGGTAGGTCTCTTAATAGAGTCCCTACTAAAAATACTATTGGAGATAAAGATGAGAATGAAGGCAACCTAATTATTATCAGTAAACCTAAAACAAACCATAAGAGGTATCAAATGTATGAAGGGAACAGCAAGTTCTGGTGTAGAGGAAAGTTATTAACAGGGCCAAGGCCCTTGGCAATAGGGCTCACTCTTCTCCTCACTCATATTCCTATGTGCCTCTATTATCCGATGGTTGTTCCTCGGATACAAGATAATTTGGAGAGAGCTGTAGTTCTCGCATTTTCACTAATTTTGAACTTCGCATTCGTTGCACTCATGATTACAACAGCTACGATGAATCCTGGCATAGTTCCAAAGTTGGAAGTAGACCCCCAGCTCACATTTAAGATATCTCAAGCAAAGCCAAAATCCAACAGACACTTGATGAAGTTTAATGGAGTGGTGGACTACCAGTCTTATTGCAGCTCATGACTAATTATAAGACCTCCAAGGTGCCACCACTGTCATTTCTGATGAAATTGAGTGGAAACTTTTGACCACCACTGTCCTTGGATCAGCAACTGTGTTGGAAAGAGAAATTATCCGTACTTTATCGGGTTCATTACAAATCTCTCCTTAATGCTAATCTTATCAATAATAATAAGTATTAAGACATTAGTTGACCACCAGAAAGAAGGGGAAATGAATTGGGATAATACTCCTAATATCTTAGTCATCATCCTCAGCACCTTAGCAGGAGTCTTTCCAGTCGGTCTGACTGGATATCACAATGCTCTGATCCTGAGAGGAGAGACTACTTACGAGAACTTAAAAAGGCTTTATAAAAACCGCAAGAATCCATTCAAAAGAGGGTTTATATATAATATCAGGATGAAACTCTGAGCTAACAGTAAGTCTTACATTGCTTAAAGTGTAGAATCTGAAGACCAAATGGTGAAGAATTATGACGGAGTCATCTTCTAAACTACTGCACTTAATTTTGTACTAATAATCATTTCCTACAATCTTTCTGAAGGAGATAATTCTTATTTCTGAGTATTTCCATAACCTGTCTAATTCTGATTGGAATTCTGACTCATTCATCTTATGAAAGCGGAGAAGTGGCTGATAGTGAGCCAGTTTTAAGACAATTCTAGGATATATCGGATGCCTATAGTAACCCTGTAAACTTAGTCCAGACTTTTCAGCCTCTCTTTCGAATTTGGCCGGGCTAAAATAAAGTGTATGTCAGAATTTTTAAATATTAGTTTTTATAGTTTGAGATTATTTTGCTCGACAGTTTATGTAAACCATTTCAGAATCCAAGGTAAATCTGTAATCAGGATGTTTATGGTCTATTTAATTCATTTTAGTCCCTAAAAATCTCTAAAGTACTGGCTAACAATGGATCTCTACTTTTCTCATCGGACCAATGTGGGAGCAATTAGGAAGGAAAATTCATGAATATTTCTAATTTAAAAAACCCTAGCTCATAAACCAATTCCGAGCTCAAATAGGTCACTTCCAAAGTAGGTGATCTACCTGCCATATCGGTCAGGAATCAGCTCCCAATATGTTCGATTTCAGTAAACACATAACTATTATTTCCTAATTTTCTGAGTGAGCATTTCAGAAATTTGAATGTAAACATGATTTTCTCCCAATAGAGCAGAAAATTTTAGGATTATGACAAATCCTTTGGCAATTATTTCTACCTTCATAAGAAGGGCATTAGAGTTATGGGCAGGAAGAGTTTTCAACAAATTTTGTGAGATTTATTCTGATATGAAGCATTGATGCTTATATTAGCGAACCCAGCTCATTCGCCTAACAGTACAAGAGAAGCACAAGCTGTTATTATTATGATCTGTTATATGCTTATAGACAATTACTTCGTTAACAGGGGTCTGTGTTGTTCTCTCCAGAGGACATTCTAAAGCAAACTATCAGCATATAAAAAATTGGAAGGAAACGAGCTGACTTAGTGCTTAATCTCTCAAGTTTTAGCTGGGTCTAAAAATTTCTTTACTATAAGCAACCCCTTAATTTCATTTTCGAATGCTATTCAGATGTTTTTATAGCCTTATCGGGAAAAAACTTTTATGAAATCAGACCTTCAAATTTGGAAGGAGTGAAGGGGTTTTGGGGTTTTGGGGTTTTGGGG